AGGCGATGGGCAGGGACCAGGGAGAAGGCAGGAGTGGGGTCCAGAGCGGCGAGTGACCATGGGGCCTGGGCTAGGTAGTGGCTAGGAGAGTAATGAGCTGAGGTACCACAGTGGGGAGGTAGGATGGGCAGGACTTGGTGGAAGATCAGCTGTGGGGAGTGCAGGAGGCCGAGGAGTCCTGGGGGCAGGGGTGGAGTGGGGAGGCGCAGCTCTGCATCTGTGCCTGCCATCATTGAGGGCCGGGATTGAAAAGCGGTGGTGAGTTCAGCCTTGGCCATGGTGAGTTTGGGGTGGTGGGGCGGGGGGGTGGTGCACCAAGGGAGAGATGTTTAGGAGGCTGTGGGCTCTAGGAGAGCCCATGGGAGGATACGGGCTGGAGTCAGATCTCTGGCTGTCGAGACAAGAGCGGAAAGAAGGTAACAGAAGCCACAAGTGGGCAACCTGCCCGGCGAGAGTGAGACGCCTCCGCCATATGCTGCATCTGAAGAACAGAGCAAAAAAGAAGAACCTACCCTGGAACTGTGTTCAGATGCCACATGGGGGGAGGGGACAGTGTTACAAAGGCGCCAAGATGTTTTTGGAAAACCTACCAGCTTCCAGCACCGTCACACCCATAGCCCCGAGCCTGGGAAGGGAAATTTTCCCAGCAGCAGATATTGGGCAATCCGTCCCTCATAACAATGACAGATACTTCTCCGGAGGTATTGGAGTAGAAGGAAGCCAGCGAGGCCAACTCCTTCCTTGAGCCCTTCTTACCTCCTAGATTGCTCTGTGTGCCCTCAGTTTGCTAGTCCCCCCTACCTAGCGCCTGTGGCCCATGCCTGCTGTCTCATCTTCCGTAAAACCCCCTCCTGGGCAGGTTCCCTCAGACCTTCCTCTGGGCTGCAGTGCTGGTCAGTCTCCTGCACTATTCAAGTCCCCCTGATGAAGCAGTGAGCTCCCCAGGGCAGCACCTTCCCCATCCTATGTCCTGATGCACCATGTCCCTGCTGAAACCCTCTAGGTCAGAAGACTTTGGATTCAAATATTTGCTTTGCCACATCGGAGCTGTGTGACCTTGGGCAGCTTAGTTGGCCAATGTCAGTTTCAGTTTCCTTCTCTGGAAGCAAGAGAAGAGTGCCGGTTTCATGGAGTGTTTGTAGGATTGCAGGAAAATGCCGTGCCGGGTACACTGTTGTCCTCAACAATAGTTGGCCCCTCCTCCCTTCCCACTCCATCTATACCATGTGAGAACAGACATCTCAGCCTCAAAAGGTCAACCGCTTTTTTGGGAACCGCTCCTGTCTCATACCCTAGCGAACAGTATTCTCTGGCCCCATAGATGCTTGCCATTCCCCAAATTCATCCTATTCTTTTCACCCCTCTGCCTTTGCACATGCTGTACCCTCAGCCTGGAGTGTCCTTTCTCCCCAGCAAACCACTTCTCATCTTTCAAGGCCTGGCCCAGCTTAAAAACATGATTGTTAAACCAAGCTAAGCTTAGGGAGGGAGAAGACAGGGGCTGGAGCATGGGAATGTGGGAGGAGGGGCTCAGGTTGGGATGGGGGTGGGCTGGGGGCCCTGAGTGCTCCAGTTCCCAGTGTGGCCCTAGTGAGCTTCTGGAGGGGGTTATCGAGCTTCTGGAGGGGGAAGAGTCGGAGGCACGAGGGGCTTGGCTGTCATCATTGGGAAATTCCTCCCTGCAGGGCTTCGGGTGGTCTGCTGGGATGACAATAGCATACTTGAGGTCCAGCTCTTGCCGGCCTCCCAGCTGTTGCTTCTTGAGGAAGATCGTGCAGGGTGGGGGAGGAGGCCAAGCACTTTCTGGTGGTTTCCAAGCTGGGTCAGGCACCCTGTGCTGGGACTTTCTGTTCCCAGTTCCAGCCCCGGCTATCCCATCTAGAAAGATGACCTTAAAAACAATGAGGGCCTGGGGGGAGGGTGAGCCCTGAGCACATAGGGAATTCAGGTCAGTCTCCTTCAGCCTAAAACATGGAGCCTGAGGCTCAGAGAGAGGTGGCCATTGGCTTTGGCCACGCTGCCCACCCCCCTCCCCTGACCATGAGTCCCAGCTCATCTCTCCGTGTGCTTATATTTACCCCGCAAGGGCCCTATTATACCCAACCTCACTCCATATCCTGAGTCTCCAGTCCTCAACTAGAGTAGGCTTTCAAAACAGGTTGGAGGGAAGGAAGGAATGTCATGGGGGGGAGACAGGGAGTGGAGGGAGGACAGCTTAGACACTGAGACTTTCCCAGATCCTCGCGTCTGCCAAGCCTGTGCTGAAATCTGGGGCCCCAAGAATGGCTCAAATCTGACCCCACCTCCAGGAAGCTCCCAGTCTGGGGAGGGAGGCACTGTTCTCCATCATTTCAAACATTAGCACTTAGGGCTCTGGGCTGCAGCCCATGAGGGATGGCAGGGACCAAGTTTACTTCTTTCTTTTTCCCGGCATCCAGGGTGCAGCTGAAGTTGGGGCTGGTACCCTGGAGACAGCCAAGTCCCCTTATCACCGATGGGGGGATCTGACCCTTCCCCTGCAGAGAGGCCTTTGCTGCACTTCTCGTTCCAGAGACAGAAGATTGAGCTTCTCAGTACAGGAAGAGACCAAATGACCACCTCAGCCAACCCCCTCCATCTGTCACACAGAGAAAGTGAGTCCCAGAAAGGGACAAAAGCAGAGGGGGCTTTGAATACCTAGCCCCTGACTGTAGGGTTTAGGCAAGCCTGCCGTCTGGTTCACAGCTGCCTGAGATCAGGCCCAGTAGGCAAGGCCTAGCCTGGGAGGAAATAACCACCCCCAACCCCACCCACCCCAGTCACTCGCACCCAGAGAATAGTTTGCTTTGTCTGGAACCAGTGGAGAAGCGCCCAAGTGGGTAGAGTCTCACTAGTGTGGGGTCTGTGGAAGAGAGGAGGGAGCCCTGAGGTAATGGCAAAGAGAGGAAAGAACTTTGGCATCAGGACAACCTGCCCCCACTCTGCTGGCCCCCACTCTGCTGCTGCTCCCTTGCTGGGTGACCTTGGGTGAGTCACTTGCCCTCTTGGAGCATCTGTTTCCTCAACTATTAAAAAGGGTGAGAGTACATCACTGCATTCTCATAAAGCCAGTGACGCAGAGCTCAAATTTTAACCTGGGACTGCTAGTTCTTTCCTTTGCCCTACCTCTCTGCCCTGGATCAATGCACTTTGAACCCAGGATGGCTGGAGAGCAACAGAAACAATACGAAGAACAAGAAAAGATGAACCTTGAAGAAGAGAAGTCAAGCAGCATACGTGAGATAGGTTACTTCTAGCTGGGGAATCCGTCTGGAAGTCTTCCTGGAGGAGTGATGTTTGGAGGAGTTGGCAAATGGCAAATTTCACCAGAATCGGTGAAGAAAGGTGGGCAGATACCTTCCTGGTAGAGGTAAAAGCTGTGAGCAAAGGGGCAGAGGTCGGAAAGAGGCTTCTCTGAAATCACGAAAGGAATGGCCTTGGGAGATCATTTTCTCCGACTCCTCCCCCACAGACAGGGAAAGCTCTGCCTGTTGCCGAAGGGCACATGGTGAGTTGGTGGTAGGGCTGGGCTGAGAGCCAGATCTGACCCTGATTCCTCTCTCTGGTGTCTGCCCCTGGCTAGGACAGCTGACCCCTCTCCCTCATGCAAGCTGGCCCCTGCTCTTTTCCCAGGCTCCAGTCTCTATACCCTGCCCCACCTGCATTCCCATATCCCTCAGATGTCCTCAGACCAGAAGGAGCTCAGGGTGGGGCCCAGGAAGCAAAGCCAGAGGCGACTCCTGGTGGACCAGTGGGCAGACAGGGGATCAGCCTCCTGCTGTATGTGCGGGAGGTCGGGGCGGCTAGAGAATAGTCTAGAGCTGAGCCCTGCAGGGGTCAGAATAACAGTGGGGTGAGGGGGACAAGCACAGTACAGCCAAAGTCTCTAGTTTCTTCCCAAACCTATAGGGTCACAACCCTCCCATCCTGCAGCGAGCCAAAGCTGATGGGGAATTTGGTCTGTCAGTGGCCCATCTCCAAACCAACCCAGGGCCTCATTGTCATCTCTCCAGCAAGGCCCCCAGAGGAAGCATCCACCCCACCCTTCCTGCCATGCCCGGGTCCCCAAGCCGCGTCAGGCTGCCCACGAAGCCCTCGGTGCCGCCTGCAGGAGCCAGGGAGAAGGTTCAGTGCTGCCTGAATGGGCGTGAGGCTAACACAGCCAGCAGGGGACAGACAGCTGGAAGGAGGCCAGAGGTGATCACCGCAGGGCACCCTGTCTGAAGACCCTTTGTTTCTTCCACCTCCCTCCTCTGCCCAAGAAATGCTCAGCGGGGCCCTCTGTTCCCAGAACCTCCGCCCTCTCCACGTGGCGCGTGTCACGCTGCAGGCTGGGCTCTGCAAGCCTCTCTCTGAACCCCTTTCTCTTCTGTGCTGAGCTTTCGGATTCTTCGTGGCAGGTCTGCCTGTCTCTCTCCTGTCTGCCTCTGTCTGCTTCTCTTCATTTCTCCCTGTCTCTTCTGCAGCCTTCTCTCCGGGGCGGACCTCCTTCCCTGTCCCTGCACAGTCCTGCAGACACCTGTTGGCCTTTGTCTTCTCCTCTGTCCCGGCCTTTGTCTGACTGCCTATCTCTGGACTTGCTCTGTCTCTGACTCCACTTTCGTCTGTATATTTGTCTGCTTTGTCTGTCTTTATCTTTGCCTGCTTCAGACAGGGAACAGGGCTCGGCAAGGGGCTCGAGTGGCCTGACTTTCCATTGTCCTCTCAGCGTCTCTGTCTCATCAGGGAAGGTAGGCTGGGTTCCCCGCCTCCAGCTGAGTAAACAGCATCCCTTCTTGCCCCTGCCGTCATTCACTCATTCATTCAAACACTTTCTCTAGGTCTGGCCTTATGGCTGGCTCTGCGTGGGGAACCGCGAGTCCCCCAGCCCAGCCCACCCAGTACACCCATTTTGGCTCCACAGCCTCCTCACCCTCCACACTGGGAATGTGGCCCCCAGACTCCATCCCAGTGCCCCTTCCTTAGTTTCATCCAAGACTTACCTATTCTGGGTCCCATGATTCATGGGGTGCAGTGAATTCCAGCCCCTATTTCAATGTCAAGAGGCAGGCAGGAGAGGGAGTGAGACCTTATCAGGGGCCCCTGGAGGCAGCAGCCACAAGCCACCGAAGGGAGGCACTAATGTGGGGACTCCAGGCACTGGGGCCAATGCCGCTCAGCCCACACTGGATCACAGCCACCTCTTCTGAGATGGGTTAGGAATTCCTGTAAAACTTGACTCCACTCTCCAAGAGCCTGCCTCGTCCAGTTACTTGTTCCTTCTGGCTGTCTCTCTCTCTGAATTCCTCTGATCTTTGGCTGGGACAGCCCAGGGCCAGAGTGGTGCAAGAGGCTGGGTTTCTTTCGATCCGGCCCCGCTGCTGGGAGGAGGCTGCTGTGTCACCTCCCCTCAGCCTGTTCCTTCACATCCTCTTGCCTCAGCATTCCCCTGGATATTTTCTCTTCCTCCATTAGCAGTAGAGAGGTGGCGGGCAGAGGGAATGTTGATGGTCCCCAAGCCCTGGTCTCATTCAGTCTGGATTCTCCAGTCTCCTCTTGCACTCCCATTCTCAATCTGTCCCCCACCAAGCTCTTGTCCCCCATCACATCTTGTCACCCTCCATGAGCCCCATAGAGAGCCCCTGTTTCCCCCGGGTCCCCCTTCCCAGAATCCCTGGCCCCTCAAGATCTCAACCCTTCTCACTAAACCCCCATCTCCTCTCTGAGCTCGGAGGATCCAGAGCAAGGAGTAAGTCCGTTCACCAGGATTCACAATGGCCAGCCTCCTTAAGGGACTCATGGCAACAGCTCATGAAGTGGAGCTCCATCTTGGTGGAGAGGGTCGGGGAGGAGAAGGGCAAATCTGCAATTTCAAGAGTTTTCTGGACTGAAGGCTGAGGATGGAGGCCTTGGAGCCAGACAGACCTGGGTCTCATTTCAGCCAGCTACATGGTCTCAGACAAGTTTCTGCATCGCTGAGTATCATTTCCCTCATCCTTAAAGAAGGGACAGCTGGCCCCTCACTTGAAGGGCTGCTGTGTAAGTTCAGCGAGCAAGAAAAAAGCCAAGCCTGAAGGCCTGGAGCTCAGAGAAGGAAGCCACAGAGGCATGTCTCAGAATAGGCCAGCAGAGGACACATACCGGTTTGCCTTTTCCAGCTTGCTCAGCACTCGCACGTGAGGCCCTACTGGGTCTATCATCCCTGTAGGCCATGTGCTTATTCCCCCATTTTACGGATGAGACATTGGGTCTCAGTAACTGCCCAGAGATCACCCAGCTAGTAGGTGGTGGGGCCATGTCTGAATCTTTGGTGCTAGAACCAGGCTTTTTCCTCCACCCAGGCTGCATTTTCTGAGGAAGACCTCTGGGTTTCCCCAAATCCAAGATGCAGAAGTGAACTTGACCCAGTTCCAGGAATAGGGTCTTTGCATGAAATGGGGATGTGGATTTGGAATCCGACTTTCAGGGTGCAGTGATAAGGGACATATCCATGGACCCCACTTGGCTCCCAGGGGCTATATGAGGGAGCTGGTGGGAAGCGGGGAGTCTTTGAAATAATCAATGTGCAGCCTGGCACATGGTGGCCCTCCATAGATACTCGTTGCCTAACTGTCTTTGAGAAACCAGAAATGTGATGCATGACCACCATACTAGGAAAGGTCAACAATTGGCTCAGGTTGATATAAAGACCAGGCCCTGCTCCTGCTTGAGAAAACCAAATTGGTTCTATTTCTCTAAATCCTTTAGACTGAAGTCAGTAATGCGAGTCTTCGCAGAGACTGGCAGAGGTGCCAACTTCAGACTCCAAATTGCAGGTGCATGGTTAAGAGTGAGAAGGTCTCTTTAGGCTTTCTGGAAATTCAGTTGCTTCCATCTTGGCTTCAGAGGCTGAAAAATTCTTTTTTTTTTTTTTTAAAGATTTTATTTATTTATTTGACAGAGAGAGACACAGCGAGAGAGGGAACACAAGCAGGGGGAGTGGGAGAGG